AAAAAGTTGGATGTCCCTATTTTAATTAAGTGCCCTTGTTATGGGCTTTTTTGTGATTACCCCTAAAATTTATATTGAATATATTTGTTTAGAAATATTAAAAAATAATAATAATGTAGCTAAAAACTTCTATATGTGTATAGCATATTTATAAATATATGCCTATATTATTAATATTTATACGTTTCGCTAACCTTTCGTAATTGCGTTTAGTCGTAATTTAGTGGGCTTATTTACGTGGTTGTCTACAGTTGTTTATAGAGTCATGGGAGTGATTTATTTTGCTGAAATGATTTGTGCAGGCACAAATTAAACATTTATGCACATTTTTTATCATTTCTCAAAAAACAAAAGGTAAAAAACTCAAAAACTCTCTCTACCCTTTCGATTTTCTTTCGCAAAGCCCGTGCAAATCGTCAACAGATCGGAGGTAATTTTTACGTTTTTACGATCCTCTTGTTATGTAGATTACGAATCCGAAAAAAAAACGAAAAAAATCGGACTTTGGCCTGCTCGTGTGAATTTACGCGAGCACTTGGCAAGTGCTCGCGTAAATTCACGCGAGCAGGCCTTGTTAATTTTTTATTTTTTTTTAGTTGCTCGTGTGATTTCACACGAACAGAGACGTTTTGCTCGTGTGATTTCACACGAGCATATCTTCTCTGTTCGTGTGAAATCACACGAGTGGGTTAAAAAAAAAAAAAAATTGTTAATGTGCTCACGTAAATTTACGCGAGCACTTGCCAAGTGCTCGCGTAAATTCGCACGAGCACTTGCCAAGTGCTCGCGTAAATTCACACGAGCACATGAATAAAAAAAGTCCGATTTTGTGCATATGAATAGTACAAAAGGTAAATAGTTATGGTAAAAAGATAAAAAATCATGTTAAAAATGTGCCTGAATGTTTAATTTGGCCTGCGTATATCATTACCCTTTATTTTGTTGTGGAAATTGAGGCAACAAGGATTTTGATAATTATATAGCAAATCGAAAAGCTTTGTCAGTACAGTTCTGTTCTGTGCATCACAGTAACAGACCTGCTTTTCGTATTTTACAAGATTCATAATTCAGTCCAAAAACATAAACTTATTCTACTCATCTCCTCCTCGAGTTGATAATTTGTATATAAATAATAAAATAAGTGGCTCCAATTTACGGTACTTCAGTCCACAGCTTCGGAATTTGAGTTACAATTATTTTATTTCTTTCACTTAAATTATCATGAGTTTCAAATTAAAAATATTGGAAAATTATCAAGCACCCCCCTTTTTCTTTTTAATAATTAGAGAAAATATATTTTATTGTTAGCTTAGATAATTAATAAAAATTAACGGGTAACTGGCACTGTGCACCCTTCAAATACACTCATTTGGCACATTGCACCATTAAATTGAAAATTTGGCACTTTAGACCCTCCAATTATCATCTACTTGGCAAAATGCACCCTAGTTATCTTTATCACCGAAAACTTTGCCGGAAAAACATTTTGGATGGAAATGATGGTTTTCAATAGTCAATTACAAAATTCCATCCAATTATAGGCAACAAATTTAATTAATGTGTCTCCAAAACTTTATTTGTGAAGAAGAAATCGACTCCCAAATTTACTTCAGTTCAAAACAATGTTGTCAGAATTTGAATAAATCCCTACTCAGTCATTTATTTTTCTTCTTTTTATGGGTCAACATAAAAGCTATTTTGGTCGATGTCTACTGTTACAATCATTGCCTCCGTCTTGGGAGTCGACAAGGTGCCGGACTTAAAGTGGAGCCACCCTCGATGGAGGAGATGGTGGTGGTGGTGGTGGCATAGGCAAATCTAAAAGGAGATGAAGATAAAAAACATGAGGGGAAAAAAATTAGTTATTATTATTATTTTTTTCTATATAGAAATTCTTGGATAAGACTGCTTCAATGCAAAAAATTGGAATCAAACTCACAAAAGAGGACGGAAGAAAGAGCGTAGTCAAAGGGATTCTAATAATAATAAGAAGAAGTAGTATGGCATTCAAGTGAAATGGAGAATATTGGATTGGCGATTGAAAAAAAAAAAGGAGGAAAAGGAAAGCATGCCGGAAATTGATAAAAATGTATTTTCCGATCAAATCGATGCCGGAAATATATCGGGGGTGCATTTTGCCAATCAAATGTTAATTGGATGGTGCAAAGTGCCAAATTTACAATTCAAGAGTGCAACAAGCTAAATGGGTGTACTTGGAGGGTGCAAAATGCCAATTACCCAAAGATTTGTATCTCAGAATACATAGTTTAGGTGTTGCTTTTGTAACCCACTTTAGGGGTCATTTTGTAATAGGTTGTAGTAGGATTTTATTTTTCCGTTTTTATTCCTTCCTCATTAGGGGTACTTTTTTCCTTGTGAGTGCCCACAAGGTTTTTAACGAGGCCCCCTTGTACTTTTCATAGTACATTTAAACATCTATAAATTAATACTGTTGGGACCATCAAAATTTAATTAATTTAGCGAAATATTAACTTATCGATAAATTAATAATTATTAATTTATACATTAATTAATAAATTATTAATTTATGAAATTACTTTTATTATTATTTTCAATAAATACATTTTCTTTTTATTTTTGTATGTGTATTATTATTTGTACCATTAGTTCAATGCATTATAGAGCCCCTTTCACGAATAGAAGCTCTTAAAGCAGCAATGGTATATAACGATTTTATGTTGATTATGAGAAAACAATACCGAAAGTTCTAGCAATGATAAGAAAAGTGAGGGATGAGATTGATGGTAATGTGAACTTCAACAAGAAACAAGCAAGAATTAAATTATATTGTATTAAGCTTTCATAGATCTATATAATATGTACTATACCATGTAATTTAAGAATTATTTTTATGCATTATTAATTTATATATTATATAGGGCTTCTTAAATTTTTCGAATGTGTATTATCTTATAAATTTAGCGAATTATTAATTTAGCACGTTGTCCCCGAGTCGGGACCGAGAAAATTTATTATTTAAGCGAGGTTATTAATTTATCGGGTATTAATTTATCGAGGTTCTACTGTATATAAGGAATGGAATAAAAATATTTTGGCCAAAAAGAAAAAGAAAAAAAAAAAAAACCCCAAAGATTTGTTAGAACAAAAGAGATATATTTGCGAAAAAATAATTTGAGTTGCTACGGCAGAGCTCTAAATATTTTATTTATGGAGATTTTTCTTATGTCTTCAATTATAGAAGTACATAATCATTATATAGATAATCAAATGACTCTTAAGACTCCTATCTTGATAAATTAAAAGATAAAAAGACTTTCAAACTTCTACATGAACCGTAAAGTGCATGAGTTTCAACAAGATTAAATACTCCATCCGTTCCTAAATAATTGTCACTTTTCACTTTTCACAAAGATTAAGAAATTCAATAAATATATCTTGATTTTATAAAAATCATATAAAAATGACTAAAACAACCTTTAATATTTAATGATTTATAAGAAAAAATAATGAATAGAGTTTCATTAATAAGGTTAAAACAGAAAAAATACATTTAATGCAGTATTGGAAATATAAAGTGACACATAATATAGAACAAAAATATTTAAAAAAAAAGAGACAGTTATTGTGGAATATATGGAGTATCAATTATGATCTTACTTTTAATCCTAACTTTTTGATCCCTTATCTTAGGCCGCTTATTATTTTCCTTTTTTTCTCAATCTGCATTCTCCTTTCTCACTCTTCTCCATCCTCTCCTCCCGTCATTCTTTCTTTTGTCGATCCGCGGCTTCTCTTTTCTCTCCCTTTTTACAAGATTAGATCGAAGGTTGGGCTGTGTAGTGGATTGACGGCTAGGGCTCTTGCAATTATCGTGATGGTCAGCAAGTGCGAAGGAGAGGCTTTCGTCTGAGTGTTGCCGGTGAATGAGAAGGAGAGGCTTTTGTCGGGTGTTGTCGGCGAGTGCGAACGAGACGAGGGTGAACAAATCAAGGATTTTTGGATTGGTTCGTGCTTTTTTCTTTTTTCTTTTCTTTTTTGCTTAATTTTTCGTTAATTTTGTAAAAAAATTCGAGAAATTCTTTATTTAAGAATATGGTGTTTCTCCTTGTTCAAAATAGTATGGAACATGGTTGACTAATATACTTTAGGAATTTATTATTGTATTTTAATAGTGAATTAATTTTGTGGTTGATTTTGTAGAGCTAATAGCACAGACCCCTGTGTTATTTCGAATCGGTGAAAAACACGACGTATTAAAAATATTAGCAAGAAACTCCCTATATTGTGTTTTTCAAAGCACACCAACCCATATTTCGAAATTGAATGTTGACTTATATGAAATGACTAAACTATCCTTACAAAATAAATATTGAAAACCGAAAACATAACAAAACGCAAAAAGCAATTGCAACAAAACTCAACCCAAGATCTTCTTCTTCATTGGGGCCCCTCTTCTCCAACTCTTTGTAAAAATAATGTCGATTCTTCAATGTTCATGCCTCACATCTCTCCACAATCAAATCTCAAGTAAAGGTGGCTGACGGGGAAGATATAAAGTGAGAGACCACCTCATCTACTCTCCGGCGAGCGGTCCAACACAATATTCTCTGTAGAACACCGTCGAGATGGATGGGCGGGGCGGGGATTTCAAAAATTTGGCGGTGGAGGGTCAGGGTGTCTGTGGCGAGAAGAACGGAGAAGACAGGTGGTGGAAGGAAGTGGTAGCGGTGGCGGTGTGAAAAGGTGATTGCCGAAGGTGGTGTTGTGAGTTTGGTCGTGGTGGTAATTTCAATGAGAAAGAAGAAGAATTTTGGGGAAGACATTCTTTTTCTCAGTTTGAAATTGAAGGTGGATGCTTGAGAAGGTGATCGATGGTGATAGTGGGTTTGCTCGTGGTCGCGTGATGATTTCTATGGGGGAAAAATATTTTTTGGGGAATAAGTAATTTTCTCTGTCCTCTTCTTCTTTTTCCTTTTTTTCCCATAAAAAATGTGTTATTTGTTTTTAGAGTAAAAAGCAGTTTACCCCCTAAATTAAGAGCGGTTTTGCACTTTGCCCCCCAAACAATTTTTTTTTGCACGTTTTTACCTAAACTTGTTATTTGGTTGCACGGTGCCCGTTTTCAGGCAATTTTGGACGGAATCTTAAGCACGTGCAAATCAGTTAGGAAGGGGTAAAATTGTCACTTCACTAACAATCTGACCTAGAGTTCAATTTTCATTAGTTTTTTTCGTTTATTTCATTGGATTTTCCTCCATCTTCTCCAACAACTCTTTCTTCTTCCCCTCTTTGTGCTCTCCTTTTGCTGGTATGCTTCGATTTCTCCCTCCTCTTCTTTTTCCCTTCTTTTGCTTTCTCTTACTAGAATAAATAAGCAATTGAAGATGCAGCAGGTCGTTAAGTTCGTAGTCGCCCTTACAATCATTTTTCGCCTCCTCACCTTCATGGTTGTTCCTCAGAGGTGACAATAGCGGTGGTGGAGCCAGAGGAGGCGACGACATCAGCACCGGAGATGGATCAGTGGGTGAAAATTCCAATTAAATGAACCAAAGAGAAAAAAGGGGAAGAGAAGAAGAAATCGAAATAGTATGAAAAGAAAAAGGGAAAAAAAAAGGAGTGGTTGGAGAAGATAATCAAAATGAAGGAAATCTAGTCAAATAGAACACTTATTCCCCTGTTTCTTGATTTCTTTTCAGAGATCAATCAGAAAAAAAAAAAAAAGGTTTCTTGTCCTGTTTTTTTCATTTATTTATTTATGTTTTATTTAAAAATCAGAGATCAAGAAGAAGAAGATGGGTGCAGAAGACTCAGTACAGCGTCCTCTTGTATTTGCCTATTACGTCACCGGTCATGGCTTTGGCCATGCCACCCGCGCTGTCGAGCTTCACCGCCATCTCTCTCTCTCTGTATCACTGTGTGTGTGTGTGTGATTTGTCTGAAAAGATGAAAAAAAATAATGTTTTGATTCGATGTACTAATAACTTGTTATGTAATTCTGGCTATGTTTTGATTCGATGTCTGTGTGTGATTTGTCTGAAAATATGATTTTTTTTAGATAATGGATGAAAATTGGATGAATTTGTTACAAAGGAAATTTTTATACAAGAAAATTGGATGATTTCTCCGATGATTTTGTTACAGGGAAATTTGTATCTCAAAAAATTGATGAAAGAAGGGGTTGTATTCTTTGTTGTGTTTGAGCACTCTGTTTCACTGTGTTCGAACAGGTAAGTCTGAGAAAGAAGGCAAATGGGGAAGAAATATTTTTGGAAGAGAAAAATGGGAAAATAAAAAAAAAATTAGAAAAAAAAGAAGGAAAAGACAATTTTGTCCCTGTTAATCTCACATGAATGGCACGTGCACAACATTCCGGTGAAAATTACCGGAAAATACTACTTTTAGGGTATCGTGCAACAAAAAATTAAGTTTAGGTAAAAACGTGCAAAAAAAATTGTTTTGGGGGTAAAGCGCGAAACGGGCCTTAGTTTAGGGGGTAAACTGCTTTTTACTCTTTTTTTTATGTAAGAAACTTTAAAAATTGCCTGATCCAAAGTTTTGTAATAGGATTTTTTTTTTTTTTTTTCTTTTTTAAAATCAGAGGGTATTTTCAAATTTTCAAGTAAACACACACTCCTAATCGCACAATTCGCGCGTTCATTATATGATGAGTTGTTAATGTTTTTTTCGGCTTTGACTTATTTTCATAGGGAGGTCTTTGCTAATTATTTTAATACGATGAGGTTTTTAGCAATTAGAGATTACACATGGGTAATTTTGCAAAAAACCCTGATTTTGTATCTATACAGTTATGCCTAGAATGTGTATGAAGATAATTTAGGGATTGCTTTCCAATCATTAGGGGTGTGCACGGGTCGGTACGGTCCGGTTTTTGCAATAATCCAAACACGTACCGATAATATCGGTTTTTCACTTTTTAAAACCGTGTATGTCGGTTTTTTTTTGGTTCGGTACTAATCGGTTTTTCGGTTTTCGGTGAACGGTATCGGTATCAATTCGGTTTATTTTCGCTTTCGGTTTCGTTATCGGTTCGAATCGGTTCGGTATAAAACCGATGTTTGATTAACGGTGCATTTGGACTTCATAAAATCGATGTTTGATTAACGGTGCATTTGGACTTCTATCACATTTCTTTGAGAAAATTAACAAGTAACAATAAAAAATCAACAAATAAAATTAAAAAATAAATAAATAAATAAAAAAACCTGCTGCCATAAAAAAACAGAATGAGATTACATCTAGTAAACTTGATGTCACTATTGTCAACTTCAAAAAAATAAACATGTTGCCTAACACAAAAGAAGTTCAGATTAAGTATCTGAGTACCAAAAAAACTTAAACAATGTGGCCGCAACCCAAAAGAAGTCAAAGTACACCACATATTAATAAGTCTCTAAACGGCAACAGAAACAAGTTTCAAAAAAACTTGTATGGTAATTTAAACTTGAGTACTGATGAAGAATTGATTGCCTTGTCCACACAGCGCAACCCTGAAAATGACAATTTAAAGTTCTTCAATATAATTAGCTCGAGAAAATCAACTAATTAACTTGAATAATTACCATTTTTGAAACATCAATCATCCATGGTAAAGAACTTTGATCCACTTGCGAAAGCATATAGAAGATTATCAAAATACGAAATATATTAGATTGTAAAAAATAAGCAATAAACATTGTATAGATCAATAATTGATGCATTATGGATTTGCGGTTGTTGGAGGTGGATTTTTTTATGATTTTTGATGAATTTTGTGTAAATATTGTATAGATCAACTACGATTTTTGTAATATTTTTCTGGTAAAATATAACTGGTTTTGCTTTTTTGCAGTTGTTTTTGTTATTTTTGCGATTGTTTGCTATTGTTTGAATTATGCCGTTGAATTGTGTTGGGTGTCCTTCATCAGCTACGCTCTATAGTTGATTAATATAACTGACAAAAAACTATACCAGACATAGAATTTTCGTTAACCGACTACGCTCTACAGTTGATTTCTATCATTGTCGATTAATATACTTGACAAAGAAAAAAAATATAAAATTTAAAATAAAAAAAAAAAATAAATAAAAAGAAAATAAAATAATAATAATTAAAAAAAAAAGACAAAAAATGAATTAAAAAACGAAATAGATATTGTGTAGTAAAAGGAAGATAGTGGAAGGACATTTTTTGGATTATAAATATCATGAAGGGTCTTGGGTTTATCTCAAATGGTGAAAATATGAATAGACATCTGCCTATAATTGTAATGTTTTAGGGAGTTCTATCAAAGAGCTCATATAAATAAAGATGATGTGCTACACAATTCAAATTAAAGAGTTTTCATGCAGTTGTAATTTTCTAAATTAGACACGAGTCACTAGCTTAGACCTAAAACTATACCTTAGACATATTGGGCACAAAACCGACATCCGATATGGTTGAGGTTTTTCATAAATTTTGTAGTTTCGATTTAGAGAACATTAATAAGAGTAACAGTGTGATTGCATGTTGAGAAGAGAGAATATAGATTTTATAAACTTCTGAAGATAATATTTTGAATACACATATTGTGCACGTGTGTACAATATTTATATATCTCAGCTGGAATAAAACCTAACTAACTATTAAGTGTAAAGTTGGTAATTTGATTACTAACTAAAGTGTACTTTACAAAGTATCACTTTCTATCAGTATTATTAAAAATCATTTGATGTCTAATATCCCCCTCAAGATGGGCAGTAAATGTCTTTAACTGACATCTTATCTATTAAAATCTTGAATTTGGGATGAGTCAACAACTTGATCTTCGCTGCGAACAAGAAGAAGCTTAATTGTACCCTTTGTAACTTGATCTCAAACAATGTAGTAATTGATGCCAATGTGTTTCGTTCTTTCGTGGAATGCCGTGTTATTGGCAATGTGCATTGTTGATTGGTTTTCACTTGCTCACTTCTAAAAGATATGAAGCCTTCCAGCTGCGCCATGTAAATTTCTTCATCAATGTCTCCATTAAGGAAAGCGGTCTTTACATCCATTTGCCATATCTTGTTGTCGTACCACGCAGCTATGGCCAGCAAAATCCTAATGAACTTCTGCATTGCAACTAGCGAAAATGTTTCCTCATAGTCAACGCATTGTCTTTGAGTATATCCTTTTACTACCAATCTAGCTTTGTAGGTCGACACCTTTCCATCCACTCCAATTTTCTTCATATAGATCCACTTGCAGCCTATGGGAACTATTCCCTTGGGTGGATCTATCAAGGTCCACATCTTGTTGGAGTACATGGAGTCCATCTCAGATTTCATGGCATTTAGTCAATGTCCCATGTATGTATCCGATACATCCTCATTCTATGTCATTGGATCTCGTCCAAGTTCAATATGATCTTCATCATTTTCGAGGAGGAATAACCTATCAGGCCTTTTCCGAACTCTTTCGGATGTGCGTACTGAAGGTTCAGGAGGTATATTAGTGGATTGTTGTATTGTCTCGTTTACTTGTTCTTATACTTGAACTTCACTTTGTGTCTCTTGAACTACTTCATGTTCTATCATGCTGCTTTTCTATCTGATAAAAACCCCTTTTCTAGAAAGGTGGCATTTCTTGAAACACACATTTTTGCTTTCTTGACATAAGAGAATCCGTATCCCATTGAGTCCTCAGGATACCCCATAAAGTAGCACAAGTCAGATCTACTATCTAACTTGTCTCCCATTAATCGCTTCACATAAGCGGGACAACCCGTTATCTTAATATGTTTGATGTTGGGCTTCCGGGAACGCCAAAGTTCATATGGTGTGGATTTAACTGCTTGGTTGTTAATGTATTCAGAAATACGCGACAGTGCGAATTGCGTGACCCAACAAGTATGCCGGTAAGTTGGTGAACCCCATCATAGAACGAACTATGTCTAACAAAGTTCTATTCCGACGTTCGAAAATTTTGTTTAATTGAGGAGTTCCAAGTGGAGTCCATTGAGATTGTATTTCATTCTCTTTTACATAATCAATGAACTCGATACATAAATATTCTCCACCACGATCGGATCGTAGTTTCTTAATACTTCGTCCGAGTTGTTTTTCTACTTTGTGTATGAAATCTTTGAACTTTTCAAATGTTTCAGCTTTGTACTTCATCAAGTACATATACCCATAGCTCGGTAAAGGTAGTGAAGTAGTTATAACCACCCTTCGTACTAAAATCTAAAAGACCTTCGACTTGCTCAATTTTCGCTTTGTAGTGATTTCACGTCGTCCAAAGTGAACTCCTTCGCTAACAAATTTGTTCATCCTTCTTAAAGAGACATTACCTAATCCAGCGTGCCAAAGTTGTGCGAGATTTTGATCTATCTCCTTACGTTTTGCTGATATAACATTAACGGGTATTTCGCTTGGATTTAGTTCATATAAGTTATTTACTAGTCGTCCGTTGCAAATCACATTTTCATTCTTTTGTATAATGCAAATCGAATTTCCAAAAACAAAAGTAAAACCTTCAATATCCAAAACAGGAATAGAAACAAGGTTTCGAATGAGAGACGGAACAAATAAACAATCGTTCAAAACAATAGGAAAACTAGAATCAAAAAAATTAAGTAGTTCCAATGGCTTCAGCAGCAACTCTTGCTCCATTCCCCGTCCTTAGGTAGGTCTCACCCGCTCTAAGCTTTGTACTTCTTGCCATTAGATGCAAATTATTTCATAGATGTTAGCCACTACATGTTGTATCCAATACCTAAGAAAAAGAGTTTATAGAAAAATTTACGTCAATGAAATACGTACCCTTTTCATAACATTTCTGCTTTAGGTAAGCCTTGCAGTTGCGGCGCCAATGCTCTTTCTTTCCACAGTGATAGCAAGCATCATCAGCTTGCTTGCTGACTTTCGCTTAGGACCCCCACTACCTTAACCCACTTCGAACTTGATGTTTGTGAATGGAACTATTTCCTTTCTCTTCTTTTGGAAAGAACTCTTCTTTCCAGAATTGGCAGCAACGAGAAAAAATTTCTCTTTCTTGATGGTGGACTCGAAACTGACTGATACGATCCAGCCAATTACGCGAGGTAGTGCCGAGCTGGATGAAGGAGTTGATGACTTGGACGAGCTGCATGTGCCAAGAGGACCGATTACCCGAGCTCGGGCCAAGCGCATTGAAGCAGCCATGCTTAACTTAGTAGAACACGAGCTCCAAAATGAAGAATTGACGAAGTCTAGTTCGATCCCAGCTGAGCTTAATTGGAGCGAATTATCGGGCCAGATTGTGAAGCAAGCCGAGCTCAAGGACTTGAGCCCGTCTAGTCATCCAGCCAAGAAGCCATGACTTGGAAAAGATGATTATTATTAATTTTCGTATTTTATTATTGGACAATTTATTTCTTGTTATTTAGAGTCCTATTTAGACTAGATTTAGTTTGTTTCGTTATTTCCTTATAATAGATAAGTTAGGATTTATTTTCCTTGTTAGATTAGGTCTCTTTGACACTTATAAATAGGTTGCTTTAGGGTCATTATTATTTGGACGTTTTTAAGTATTATTTTGAGAGATTAAAATTCTCCTTCGTTGTTCTTCAACAACTCTTCGGGATATTTTGCGAGTGGATTCTTGTGAATTATTCTTAGCACTATAGTATTGGTTTCTGATTCATTATAATCACGGGGTCAATACTTCCACCTTGATAATATTGGTTTCTAGCTCTCTATAGCTACGGGGTCAATATTTCGAATTCCGCCAATCGAATCCTTTATTTTTTGGACGTTCCGTTCTTGCTTCCGCATAAGATTATTGGGTCCCGTAACAAGTTCTACGGGGTTCGTATCAGTTGGTAACCAGAGCCAATTTCCAAGAAAAGGTTTCACCTATCCTTTTTTTTTTCATGTCTTTGTTTTGTTTCCGTTCTTCGTGTCTTCTCTATCTCATCTTTTCGTGAACTCTGTTGTCTAGAGTCTTCGTTCAAAAAAAAAAATCGAATTTTGCTTTTCTTTAAAGTTACTTGCAGCCCACGTTAGGGTTTGTTAGTAAAAAAAAAAAAAAAAAAAAAGAGAAAATCCGAAAAAAAAACAAAAAATATCTTAGAAAAACCGGATTCAGCAAAAAAACAAAAAAAAAAAAAAAAAAAAAAAACGAAAATCATTGCAAAAGAAGAAGCAAAATTCGAAATTCAACCAAGGAAAATTCCTTGTGAGGAGTTTTAATAGATTTGGGCAACACAAATCCTATTCCTTTTGTTTCCGTGTCTACCTTGAATATCTTGTTTCCTTGTGTACCTTTCTCCTAATTGAATTCCACGTTGTTTCTTTGTTTCCTATTACTTTTACCATTAAATTCGAAATTCCTTTTATTTGCCTCCACATAATTTCTGAATTGATAAAATACTATTTAGCTTTGAAGAAAAAAACGAAAATCCACTTAATATTTTCTCGATTAGTTTCTTTAGAACTTCGAAGGGAGTTTACGAGTGGAAAAAGGCAAGAGAGTGTGAGATCAAAAGAGGGTAAAAGCCTAACTAATTGTGTGTAACACGAGTGTATTGAGTGAACATCATATTGAGTGATACACGTAAGGGAGTGGTGAGGAAAATCTTTTTTTTTTTTTTTTTTTTTTATAACAATATTTTGCAGTTCGAACATCATGTCAAAGAATGGGAGTGGTGATGAAAGGGACGAAACCACGGAGCAGCACTTCCAACGTCTGCATATAACCCTTCAAAGGATGCAAAATCAAATCGATGAGTTGATTAGGGTAAGACCTGCACCGGCGCCACAACTGCGGCCACCTATTCGTCAACCTGTTGTACGCCAACGTGACGAATTGGAATTCGATGAACAATTCTTCGATGAAGAATCTGAGGCAGAGTCTAATACTTCTAGACGATGGCATAGAGGACGAGGGAACAGAGGTGGCAAATTTGACATACCAAGGCGAGGTAATGTGGGACGAGAAAGAGATGAAGTTGATCGAAACCTCAACTCGATCAAATTGAGTATACCGTCTTTCCAAGGGAAGAGTGATCCCGAGGCATACATAGAATGGGAAAGAAAGGTTGAGCTCGTTTTCGATTGCCACAATTATTCCGAGGAAAAGAAGGTGAAGCTTGCAGCTGTAGCGTTCACCGATTATGCTATCATTTGGTGGGATCAATTGGTAGTGACTAGACGCAGAACCGGCGAACCACCAATTGTCGATTGGGAGTCTATGAAGGCACTTATGAGACGGAGGTTCGTGCCCTCACATTATTATAGAGACTTACATCTGAAATTGCAAAGCTTGAAGCAAGGTACTAAATCAGTTGAGGAGTACCATAAGGAGATGGAGATTGCAATGATTCGAGCCAATATTGAGGAGGATCGAGAGGCCACGATGGCAAGATTTATTTGCGGGCTGAACCGGGAGATCGCTAATGTAGTGGAGTTGCAGCACTACGTTGAGATTGAGGAGGTCGTTCATATGGCCATGAAAGTTGAGAGGCAGCTTAAGCGGGGAGGGAGAACTACAGCTCGGGCCGAGGCATCAAGCTGGAAACCGCGATGGAATCCTACTTCGAAACCCGAGGAGAAATCGACAACGAAACCTTCCAACGAAAATCCAATTAACCGAGCACCACCTGAGAGAGGTAATAATTCGTCACAACCACAACGAACACGTGAAATATTAAATGCCATAGATGTCATGGAGCAGGTCATATCGCTATGGACTACCCTAACCGGCGAGCTATGATTTTATTGGATAATGGCGAGCTGGAGTCCGAGGAGGAGGAAGAGTCAACTTCAAAAACAGCACCTATTGAAGGTGATGTGGTACAAGCTGTTGATGGACTCGCCCTTGTTGTACTTCGAACTCTTCACGTGCAAGCAGAAGAAGATGGTGATGTAATACAGCGAGAGAACATCTTCTATACACGCTGCTACGTTCAAAACCGAGTATGTGGATTGATAATTGATGGAGGAAGTTGCGTGAATGTAGCGAGCAAGCTAATGGTAGACAAGCTAGGGCTGCAAGTCTCCAAACATCCGAGACCTTACAAACTTCAGTGGCTGAATGAAAGTGGCGAGTTGAGAGTGACGAAACAAGTACTGATTTCCTTTAGTATTGGACAATACAAAGATGAGGTGATGTGCGATGTTGTGCCCATGCAAGCAAGTCATATTTTACTTGGGTGACCTTGGCAATTTGATCGAAGAACAGTCCATGATGGTTACAAAAATCGCTACACTTTTACTAAGGATGGCAGGCGAATCACACTTGCACCTTTACCACCTCGTCAGGTGTTTGAGGAGCAAAATCAGATCAAGAAATCCATTGCTGCAAGTTCAAAACAACATGAGAATGAACGTGTTAGTAGTAGTGGAGAGGTAAAACAAGAGAGTTTAGTCGAAGTGAGAAAAGAAAAAGAAGAGAGTGCAAACTTAATAAATAAAGATGAGAGAAAAGTGAGCTTTTATGCAAAAGAAAGAGAGATTAAGAGTGCATATAAGGGTGAGAGAACAATGATGTTGTTAGTGTTTAGGGAGTCCTATTTTTCTAATGCTAACCTTAATTCTTCTTTGCCTAGTATTGTTATTTCTCTTTTGCAGGAGTTCGATGATGTCTTTCCGGACGAGATGCCAACGGGGTTGCCACCAATTCGAGGGATCGAGCAACAAATTGATTTTATTCCAGGGTCCCAAATTCCAAATAGACCAGCTTACCGAAGTAGTCCCGAGGAGACGAAGGAGTTACAACGGCAAGTGGACGACCTGTTAGCTAAAGGACATGTTCGAGAAAGCATGAGTCCTTGTGCAGTGCCGGTTTTACTAGTACCGAAGAAGGATGGGAGTTGGAGAATGTGTGTTGATTGTCGAGCAATCAACAAAATTACGGTAAAGTATCGACACCCCATTCCTCGATTAGATGACATGTTAGATGAACTACATGGTTCCATTATCTTCTCTAAAATTGATTTGAAAAGTGGTTATCACCAAATTCGCATGAAAGAGGGAGATGAGTGGAAAACTGCATTTAAAACTAAGCATGGATTGTATGAATGGTTAGTGATGCCTTTTGGTTTAACTAATGCACCAAGTACGTTTATGCGACTTATGAATCATGTTCTGCGATCTTACATAGGAAAATTTGTTGTTGTTTACTTTGATGATATCTTAGTTTATAGCAATAATTTGCATGATCATGTTGAGCATTTGAGGTGTGTCTTGGAGTCCTTACGGCAAGAACAATTATATGCTAATTTAAAGAAGTGTGATTTCTGCCTAGATATGATAGTTTTTCTTGGTTTTGTTGTGAGTTTTAGGGGCGTTGAAGTGGACGATGAAAAGGTTACAGCTATTCGTGAATGGCCAACACCCAAGAACGCATCCGAGGTGCGAAGTTTCCATGGCCTAGCAGGATTCTATAGGAGATTTGTACCGAACTTCAGCACAATTGCAGCACCTTTGACCGAGGTGATCAAGAAGGAGGTTGGCTTCAAGTGGGGCGAGGCCCAAGAGAATGCATTTCGCACATTGAAAGATAAGCTAAGTTCCGCTCCTTTACTAATTTTACCAGACATTTCTAAAACTTTTGAAATCGAATGTGATGCTTCTGGAATTGGTATTCGTGCAGTGCTTATGCAAGACAAGCGACCTATCGCTTATTTCAGCGAGAAGCTAAACGGCGCAGCCTTGAAATACTCGACCTATGACAAAGAGCTCTACGCGTTGGTGCGAGCTTTGGAGACTTGGCAACATTACTTGTGGTCTAAGGAATTCGTAATACACACAGATCACGAGTCGCTAAAGCATCTTAAGGGCCAAGGCAAGCTGAACCGAAGACATGCTCGGTGGGTGGAGTTTATCGAGATGTTTCCTTTTGTGATACAGTACAAACAAGGTAAAGATAATGTCGTAGCTGATGCACTATCTCGCAGGTATGTTCTCATGTCGACCCTTAGTTCTAAATTCTTAGGTTTTGAGCATGTTAAGGAGCTGTACGTGAACGATCATGATTTTGCTACTATATTTGCTGCATGTCAAAAAGGAACTTTTGAAAAATTCTACAAGCATGATGATTATTTGTTTAGGGAGAACAAACTTTGCATGCCTATTTGTTCGCTTCGTGAATTACTTGTGCGAGAATCACATGGAGGTGGTTTAATGGGACATTTTGGTGTTTCTAAAACATTAGATATTTTAAAAGAGCATTTCTTTTGGCCGCGTATGAAGCGAGATGTTGAGAGGATTTGTTCGAAGTGTCTAACATGTAGGCGAGCTAAATCTAGGGTTAAACCACATGGATTATATATGCCATTACCTGTTCCTACTCACCCTTAGACCGATGTATCAATGGATTTTGTTTTAGGGCTGCCGAGGTCTAGTAAAGGTCGAGATGCTATTTTTGTTGTGGTCGATCGTTTTTCTAAAATGGCACACTTCATTCCATGTCATAAAACAGATGATGCTACGCATGTAGCGAATTTATTCTTTAGCGAAGTAGTGCGATTGCATGGGGTACCTCGTACTATTGTTAGTGATAGGGACGTTAAATTCCTTAGTCATTTTTGGCGTGTTTTGTGGGGTAAGTTAGGTACGACTTTACTCTTTTCTACTACTTGTCATCCACAAACCAATGGTCAAACCGAGGTGGTTAATCAAACTTTAGGTATGTTATTGCGAGTTGTTCTTAAAAGAAACCTAAAGTCGTGGGAGGAATGTATTCCTTTTATTGAGTTCGCGTATAATAGATCTGTGCATTCTTCTACAAAGTTTTCACCTTTTGAGATTGTTTATGGTTTTAATCCGTTAACTCCTTTGGATTTGTTGCCTTTACCTGTTAATGAGATTTCTAGTCTAGATGGGAAGCGTAAGGCTGAGTTAGTGAAGAAAATCCATGAAGAAGCACGCGAGCACATTGTGAAAACGAATGAGCAAGTTGCGAACCGAGCTAATAAGGGGCGAAAGCACCTTACCTTTCAGCAAGGAGATTGGGTTTGGGTTCATTTTTGAAAGGAAAGGTTTCCCAATCAGCGAAGTTCAAAACTTAAGCCACGAGGAGATGGACCTTTCCAAGTGCTGGAAAAGATTAACGATAATGCCTATAAGATCGACCTTCCAAGTGAGTATCAAGTTAGTTCGACATTTAATGTTTCTGACCTATCTCCGTTTGATGTAGGTTCAGATTCGAGGACGAATCATTTTCAAGAGGGGGAGGATGATACGATCCAGCCATTACGCGAGGTAGTGCCGAGCTGGATGAAGGAGTTGATGACTTGGACGAGCTGCATGTGCCAAGAGGACCGATTACCCGAGCTCGGGCCAAGCGCATTGAAGCAGCCATGCTTAACTTAGTAGAACACGAGCTCCAAAATGAAGAATTGACGAAGTCTAGTTCGATCCCAGCTGAGCTTAATTGGAGCGAATTATCGGGCCAGATTGTGAAGCAAGCCGAGCTCAAGGACTTGAGCCCGTCTAGTCATCCAGCCAAGAAGCCATGACTTGGAAAAGATGATTATTATTAATTTTCGTATTTTATTATTGGACAATTTATTTCTTGTTATTTAGAGTCCTATTTGGACTAGATTTAGTTTATTTCGTTATTTCCTTATAATAGATAAGTTAGGATTCATTTTCCTTGTTAGATTAGGTCTCTTTGACACTTATAAATAGGTTGCTTTAGGATCATTATTATTTGGACGTTTTTAAGTATTATTTTGAGAGATTAAAATTATCATTCGTTGTTCTTCAACAACTCTTCGGGATATTTTGCGAGTGGATTCTTGTGAATTATTCTTAGCACTATAGTATTGGTTTCTGATTCATTATAATCACAGGGTCAATACTTCCACCTTGATAATATTGGTTTCTAGCTCTCTATAGCTACGGGGTCAATATTCCGAATTCCGCCAATCGAATCCTTTATTTTTTGGACGTTCCGTTCTTGCTTCCGCATAAGATTATTGGGTCCCGTAACAAGTTCTACGGGGTTCGTATCACTGACCAACATGTTCATTAACTCATCTAAAGGAGGATCAAGTTTGTTCGTTCACTATGAATGAATCATAGGAACTTGGGAGGGACAACATGATCAAATGCAATGATAGCTCGGTAGGGAGGGTGACATCAAGGTTCACTAGCTTCTCAAAAAGGGTGATCATCTTGAGACAGTGCTCGTGGACCGAAGCCCCTTCGCGCAGTCTCGCATTGGTCTACTCCTTGGTAGTTGCGTACCTAGACACTTTAATATTCTCACAATACATGCTATCAAGATGAGACTTGATGTCAAAAGCATGCAAGTGAGACTCATATTTCCTCGCAAGCGCAGGCTCCATAGATGCTATCATGTAGCACCTAGCATGAGTGTCGTCCTTCTTCCAAGCTTCATAAGTCTCATTTTCAGCATCAGTCGCAGTGTCAGGTATAGAGGTAGGAAGTCTCTCATCGAGTACATGGAGACGCCCCCCAATAGTGAGCAAAAGTTTTAGACTACGTAACCAATGGAGGTAGTTTGGGCCATTGAGTTTTTGGTCGAGGAGTGAGATTATGAGATTCTTAGACATGATTATCTAAAAGGTTAAAAAAGTGGATTTTAGAGATTCATATTAAATGATTTAAGATTAAATATTTGGATTTTATAATTTAATTGTTCTCCTACTAATTTTATCGAGTTCCACTACCCTCTAGTAGACAAACGAGAAAACCGATTTTTCTTTAGTGGGCTTTAGGTCCAATAGACACAAATAACCCGTAGTAAATCTAGCCCGATTATATTTATCCAAAGGTAGATCACAATCAATCATATCATTTATATGATCCTAAAGTATTTTTCCTCACACTTGACAATAACCTAAATTAATCTCGAGAATTCAAAATCTTCGTGTGTCAAGTCTAACCAACCAATCAAAGATGCTCATAGAACTAATTATACCAAGTTAATGTAGTTCCTAGTTAATCTAGCCGACCACGTTAATCTAGCATAACCCTCTCTCTATGGCTACCTACATCATTATGTCAATTAAATTACAGCTTACCTTACAATAGCACTCCCCGCTAACACAACTTACTACACTATTTCAAAGGGCTACACATAATTCAACCGTTGGCAGAAGGAAAGAAAAATTCAACAGATTGATTTTTCTTTATAGCTTGAAATATTTTTTAATAAAATTAAGAATGAGGGATTTTTAGAAGAAAAAAAATTATCTCATCAAAAGGTTCGGAATGGTCGATGTAATTTCTACATCTATGTTCTCTAAAGGCAAACGAAAACGCATATTATCCTAGGACTAACATTTGACCTAATCTTATAATTAATTACATTAATTAATTATCGGGTTTTTCAAAATAATTGGGACTTCATTTAGCATAAACCATTCAAATATTATTGAGGTACAAATGATTAATTTAAAGTATAATCAATATTATTGATTTGTTTTATTAATTAAAATCAATTAAACAATTTTAAATTAATTAATTAATCTAACACCTATTTACTAAAATAGTTAATCGTTGAATCAATTATCTAATTGGGTTTAAATAATCTTCAAAAAATTAATATCAATCTGTTTTAAGTTTAATTTTAGAAATCTGAAATAATTTTTTTTTATTTTACTGATCATGTTCGATCTAACCGGTTCGGACCGAATCGATCCGTTTCAATCCGGTCCAGCTGGCCGAATCAGCGGGTCGGGTCAGTCCGTCCGAGAACTGGTCTGACCCGTTTCCACGTCGATTCGGTCGGTTTGATCGAAAAGAACCATCGGACCAGCCGGTCCGACCGGTTCGATCCGGATAAACAACAAAAACAACAATTTTAATTATTTTGAGATCCGATTTTTCCAATTTTAAACAAATTTTAAAGCTGAAAAAATTATAAACAATATTTTAAAAATATTTTAAACTTTCAAAAACACTCACTTAAATAATACAACAATTTTTAATTGTAATAAATTCAAGCGTGCATTAGAATAAGCAATATATTAACGCAATTAATTGTGCAGCGGAAGACAAAAGAAATTATATGAAAAACGAATTTAAGATATAAACACGTGTGATTTAACATCATGATTCCCTATATACAAATGAAGTGCTTGGAAGAACCGTGTGATATAGTTAATGTATAGTACGATCCCTTCGATACATATATCCCGATTGAACTAGAGGCATTGGTTCATCGAGACCTCCTTTACAGTTCAATGACTGTGCGATTGTTCTAAGTGTTCTAATCGATACGTGCATGACTTTAGAGAATCACATTCCCTAATCATCACTTAGTCAGCTCTGGCCAAAGGCTTAATGATTACAAACTATGAGAACACACAGTACATCCAAGACTATTCTAGCGATCGAGTCCCCGACTACAATGCATAGGCCTCCCACTAGATTTCGGACTGCACGAACACTGGCCCTTGGGGCGGTACTCGGTGGAACTCAGGGACAGGTCACCATACAACTAGTCCTCTAGTGAAGTCACGGTAATGTCTAGGTCATAAGACAAATGGTGTACAACTATATCATAGAGATCCCTACTCGATTATTGAGAACCACTTAGAGATTTCTAGGATGAGGGAGTTCAGTGAACTCATCAACTTACGAGCACCCACTTATGTATGCCGATATCACAATACCATTTACTGATGAGACGCGGTACACATATACTAAGTGATAGTCTCTAATGGGAAATGTTGATATCCTCATTGGTGGCGTAACCCGTCGACTAGGAACATGGTTTAACAGTTATATTACTCAAGTAAATCGCTCATGATCCTACTAGATCAAATATAAGTAATTATAATAACTGTAAGGACTGTATCTATGCTTATGCAAGTGACAAAGATATAAAATTCCAAAAGGTGTTTTATCATTAATACGATAAAGGATTATTTATTACAAGAATAAATGAAAGACGACAACCACAAGTTGGCTTGTTGGTACCTACTCTAACATGAACATCATACAACTTGTAATATTTAATATCCGCTCGATAACAAATGAATACACAAAGCTTGGCTATTGGCTGAAATTTAGTTCTAGCAGCTGGCAAAGTAGATGAAAAAGTCAAGCAATCAAACACTCTTAGTGAATGATAATCAGGAATTTTTCCATATAATAAAAGGGAAGGAGTTCTCTTAATAATGAGAGCAGAAGTTAAGACGTGATAAGTCCAGAGGTGAATGGGAAAATAAAGAGCTCTTGCAACATTTAGTAAGTGTTGGTGGTTTCTCTCCACCAAACAAAATTTGGTGTTAGGTTTGAGAACATGAAAAAACTGATGCAATACACCAAGACTCTCAAAGAATGCAGTAAAAGAGAGCTTCGATGCATGGTTTGACCTCAAGTCTTTGATAATTTTACCAAGCAATCTTTATCATTTGATATTTTTTTTCATATAACAGTGGTAATACCAAACTTCTGTCTTAATAAGCATATCAAGTGTACCTCGGATAATCATCAACTATAGTAGCAAAATGTATATGGCTAGTGTGTGAAGGAACTTTGTAACGTCCCCGAATAACAACACGATTTAGAAGATAAAAGTATTCAAAAGACATATGTGGATTATAGGGAAAATAAAGTATTCTTTACTTAGCCAAAGAGAAAATGTAGCAAGGAGTATGATTACAATCAAAATCAACATATTTTTTTAATGCAAGAAAGTGTTTTATTTGAAGGGTGTCCAAACCAACTATGCTAAACAGAAGAATGAAGTTTGCCTATTGTGTATCTTGCGAGCATGGTTTGGAAACTAAAAGGTCATATATGCTCCACCTTACAGGATCTTATGTTTTCACAGACTGATCCAGATTAACCTAAACATCCGACATGAACATTAATTCGGAAAGCTCTTCACGAAGGCTCGACAAGATGATGATCTACTAGGTTCCTTCATTATAGATTCATTAGGACTACAACGAGCTCCTTTCGGTTATTCTAGGGTATTAAGTCAATAGAATCCGTACCACTCTTATTAGACACTAGGATCTCTAGACCTTCCTGGCTTCCTCGATGGACTTCTAAATGAGGGTGCTTCTCGATTTGGATGGATTGGCCTCAGTTAGACATCACCACACACCCTGATACAATGAAAATATACAGAAGCAAGAAACAAAACGTTCAAAATGAAGAATTCAATTTGTGTGGGACAAATAATACTAAACCATCTATACCTATACTATTTATTATTTATTATTATAAAAGAAAAGTATGAATCATAGGTGGTTTCTTCCCTTTTATGTAAGTACTAAAATGCCCTTATGAATAAACTTCCATCACACAAAAGTTGAAGGATAACTAAGTAATATCAGTTTGTGAAGAATTAGCTTATTGATAAGATGTATATTAATTTGAATAACTGATATGTTAAAATACATTAAACATACAAAGGCAAGAAAAGTATTAATGATGCTGTTATCTTTTAAGATTCATTGAACAAACTTATGCCTCTTCGGATGGAAGAATCATTTTCAATTGACTAATGTACATTACATTCAGAAAGTAACATATGAAATATGATTCATGTGTTTAAATAATATAAATAATAAATATTTTGTTGGGTACCCGTTGAACTCAATAATTATTACAGACCAAATAGTTATATAAGCACAGAATAATAAATCCTATGGGAAAAGGGATTAGGGATTACAAAGCAATTCTAAATATTCAATACTAATATATTACAGATTATAAGAATCAACTAGCTAACCCGACAGATCCGTAAAAGGATCTGGGTGGAAGACGTAGATCCGGCTCAGCCCTCTGTTTCCGATCGTCCACGTCCAAGACTCGTCTGGCTGCCTCCAAACACTCACCGGAATCAAGCCAATCGTTCCAAAATCCTCTGCCTCCAACCCTAAGTCACACAGACCCCAATACCCAAAACGAAACCAACTACTGCCAAGAGAAGCAAAAGCACACAACAATCAAATGTCCGTTTTTCAGTCACTCACACAGAACTCCCTCAACCCAGATCACGCAGCAAGAGAAAAGGAAAAAGAACGGACAATTTCGAAAAACGGACTTATGTGCTTCGAGAAAAATCGTTTTGTACCTTTTTGAAAACATGAAAAAGGTTTTAATAATCTCAGCCATAACCGAAGCTCAGAAGAAAACAGAGAGGGAATAGACTGAGGATTTCGGCAAGAAAATCTCACCAGAACTGAGAGAAGAGGAAGTAGCGGCTGGTGTGATTAGGTTTAGGGCTGGAGAGAGAAGAGAGTAAGAACATATTTATATTCCAAACCAACGGTCAGGATCTCTCAATAGGATTTAATCGACGAGATAAATCCTAGAGCCCACAGACTTGGGCTTTAAGCTCGTGGGCTGATTACTTTGGTGAGTGGGCTGCAAGGTGAGTGGATTTGGGCCCAGAGTTATAAACTCATTTGGGCCTATATTTCCAATAATCTCGACCTGGACCAAATGAGTCATCGGCACTTTTGTGGAAAATATAGGTCATCATTGCAGGGTAAATGTACCTGCACTCAATGGAATAGACTTAGTACATAATTTATTTGCATAAAAATAAATTACACTACGAAAGCAATAAAAAATGAAATACATA